TGGGAAGGAAAAGAATAATGAATTATCAAAGAGAGCACAATAGACTAAAGAAGAACCTACTTAGTGCATGTGACCTTTGTCTAATGCTATAAACTACAACTTTATAAGTATAGAAATGGAACAAAATAAGAAGGTGAAGCTTAACCATACCAAGATATCAAGTTTTCCTAGCTGGGTTTTGACGAAATTTGCAAGGGATACTATGCTATTTGAGTCAGTCACATCAAGCTGATGAAAAACCACTTGGTCAGAAAGACCAAGTTGTTTGAATTTATCAACAGCTTCAAGACCCCTTTTCTCATCTCTTGCTGTTAGCACCACAGTGATCCCATTTGAAGCCAATTGCTTACATATCTCAAATCCTATCCCTTTGTTTGCTCCTGTGACTACCGCATACCTAGAAAGCAAGCATTTCAAGACAGATATGGAAAAAAAGCATTTCAAATTCAAACACAATGGGTTTATAAACACTTTAGATTTTGCACTTGATTAAAAGCTGTCAAGGAAAGAGAAGGACATGCAGATGATGAAAGTTGAAGAAAACCATAACGTACCTTTTTGCTACTTCAGACATTGTTTATTAGAGAGAATTCAGGACACTTCTTTGAGGAGGAAATGAAATAGATATCTTGTTTTTATACTTCGTCCAGAGTGAGTCTGCTGACGTTTAAGAAAACTAGCTATTCGATCAGCAATGAGCACTGCATCGCTCATTTTATTATTATTTTCTTCAAAACCTTGGACTATTTCACATTCTCTTTTTCTTGTTTTACACCTTAATTATTTAGGAGGGTTTGACATAACAAATTTTCCTACGCACAATATTTTGTGGGACCCACACTTTTTGAAGAAAAAAAGAAAAAAGAAAATTATGGCACGCAAAACGAATCTCTGTAACATTACACAATCATTTTTCCTACGGCATAGCTCTTATAAAACCCTATTTACAAATAAGAAAAAATGTGTGTCCTTTACATTTAGGTTATTTTAAGAGATGTGTAGACACAAAACAATAAGACTCACATTTTTATTTTATTTTTTATTTTTTTAGTAGGATCCACACCTCTTTATGTCTATCTCTCTCATAAAATGAAGTAAATTTTTCCCTTACAAATATTATAGAGACCAGTAGTTAAAGAAATCACAAATTGAATATATGAATACGAATGCGAACCTAAAACATCTTAATTTTCTTTTTTGAATGTTAATCGTTCAAAATCATAAACAAATCAATTGTTGATTGTGAGTTTTTTTAGGATGTGCATAACAACCTTCTCATAATCATTTTTTTTTATGTTCCCGGAAACAGAAATGGATAGTAAATTCGTTTAGTAAAATCGATTTATTTTTTTTGTTCTCGAGATGAACCGATTTAATTTTTGTGTAGGGGACAGAAAAAAGAATAAAAAAATTTCTGTTTTATTTTTTTGTTCTCGGGCACAAAATGATAAGCATTTGCCTCTCTCAATCACTCTTCACCACTACCATTATCATCACCACCCATCATCTCGACACGACCACTGCCACCATCATCGACACCGTCGTTGTACCACTAGTTCAGTCGTTACCACCACCACCATGACGATGCTACGCCACCATCACCACCATCATCACCATCATCACTCTTAAGGTGTAAAGAAGCATTTCAAACCAAAAGGTTAAGCTGTTGGATGAGACTATATTAATGGTTTTATATTTCTCTAACACGTACTCTAATACTAAAGCTTAATGGACTTGAAAAATGTATGATCCATCATGCTCAGTCTTTGTAAAAACTATTTTTACCCAAGAACTTAAATTATTAGGTGAGATTATATTAATGATTTTATATTTTTTTTTAACAGTATGCTCCTAAATTTTGAGAAATTCGCTAACTAGGGTAGCGAATTTCTCAAAATTTGACATGTGGCATTTTTGGTTCTGATGTGGCATATTTCGCTACACTGTGTAGCGAATTACTTGCATGCATAATTCGCTACACTGTGTAGCGAATTATGCCGCGTGACATTTTGACAAAATTTACTGTTGGCGTGACAGTTTAATAATTTTTTTGTCCAAATGTAACAAAATGGTCACTGATCTTTCACTCCGCTAGCTTTTTATGAAAAGTAGCTATTCAACATTGCATTGGTAATTATTGATTTCTTCAAAACCTTGGACTTTTTTAGATGAAGAAAGTTCGCCAAATGAGCATGAAAAACTAAATACATGCAAGGGGCATGTCCAAGAAGCACCCGTACCATTAAATCAATGCTTAAATTTTTTTATAAGTGATTATTGATGTGATGAATAAATCAAATCTGTTCATTGATTTAAATTTTTTGAAGAGGCTATGACATACGTTTTCTCTTACTGCTCGGTAAAAAATCATTTCTTCTTGACTTAGTGGTTAGTGCTGTTTTATATTGGAGTGTCATATCTGTCGGCTGAAAACGGAAGAGTCAAAAATCATTTTCTCTACTTTGAACACTTTTAATCAAATGAATTTCTTTTTTACCCTGTTAGTATTTTCTCTACTCCCGGAATTCTAAAAGGAATGTTTGGTTTTTGTGACAAGTTGATATGAAGATTTAATTGATTAATTTAAAAATTTAATCGATTAAATCTTCAAGTCAATTATTTTTGTCTATTTTGACTATTTAATCGATTAAATTTTCAAGTTAATCAATTAAAGAGGGACAGATTGGTAGATAATTCTGGATAAGGGGCAAAATAATTATTAATTATTTAATGAAGAGCAAAATGATCAAAAAGTCCATATCTATCGGCTGAAAACGGAAGAGTCAAAAATCATTTTCTCTATTTTGGACCCTTTTAATCAAATGATTTTTTATTTTATTTTTTTGATATTTTAGTATTTTCTGATGACTTTTTTAAAAAAAAAAAACTAATAAATACACTTTTAATTGTAATTTTTGTGCTTCTAATAAAGGCATTTTCATAATATAGAAAAGTTGTTTAAACATAAAATTAATATTTCTCAAATATTGATATTTTACATATTTCCCTTTTAAAGGCTAGTTATTTATAATTAATATAGATCAAAACTCATAAAACATCACAAATTAAATGTATGAATACCGAATACGTACCACAAACATTTTATATTTTTTTTACCCTTGTATCTTAATTGTTGCATCCTCCTTTGATTTTGTAAACAGAGGCTTTAAACAAAAACTTTAGATTTCTATTCAAACAAGTAAATGTGTTAAAATTTGCTAATGTTTTCAGCAGAGAAAATCTGCTTCGTTTGGGGATCACAATGCTAATTACTTATGAGGTATTATAAGAATTAAGAAGTTCGGGTGTCGGTTTGCAATCCAAACCCCAGTTTAAAAGGGTTCATTTTTTCCTCAAATACAAATCAACATGTTAAATAGTGATTTGGACCAGAAATATGGAACGTCGAAACTCACTCAACTACAATAAGAGATTCAGGCCCATATCAAGCCTTAATTAGTAAAAAAAATGTGCCTATCTCACGAATTACTTACCTACTCAAACTTGGTTACCACATGATTAAGCTAATGATCGAATGACATAGACACACTTCTTCCGGGAGGCAATTTTTGGGGAAAAGCCCAAAAGAGAAGAATTAATATACTGGATCAGTTCGGATTGAATTGATTTTCATCAATTAATCCGAAAACCGATCCAATCCAATTAAAATTTGTGATTTTTTTTTTCGATTTTCGGTTTTTCAATTTATTCGATTATCTATTTTTTGGTTCAGTCACCGCGATTTGAATCGATTGATGAACATATGACATGTATATAATACTTTGACCCTATTTTTTTTATTTTTTTTTTATAACAACTTTGACCCTATTTTTAAGCTGGATAAGATAGAACATCTCTTGGTGAAATTATAAAATCAACTGGGTTCATATCATGAACCCTATTTGTTAAGAATTTAAGATATTGTTAACCTAAATAGTCGGTCAGGTAAGCATAAGTCAAGTGGTAATATCTCTGTTCTACTACAACGATAACTAATTAAATAATCACTTAAACTACTTTCTTAGACATCCTCTTAGTTTATCAGTTGCCAAGATCAATCTGTTAGCTTGGAGATAGACTCAATTTTGAATTTTGAATTTCTGAAGACAGTATTAGTTTGATGTATTTTGAATGTGTAACAAATTATCTTTCCGTAGTTTCTTTTCATACGATGTAACGATGAAGTCTACGTATAGACACCAGCATAATGAATTCGATCAAGTTGATCTTTCACAAAATCTATTAATTTTCGCTTCACAACTTGTTAATAGGTGATTGTAAATGGAGTGGTGTAAATTTGGAATAGTTCCTATCATATATTATTTAAGGAGGATTATAATCATTTATGTTCATGTTAACTAACACATGAGACGATCCACGTCCGTGTAAATTACATAGAAATTCAAACATTGTAAGAATATTGAAGCAACCACAACAATCTATTAAGATACTAAGAATATGTCTTCAACAACTAAATATAAATATTTACTATTATAATTTCATGTTATCCAAATTTATTTTTAGTTATATAATGACCAAGTCATCTATTGCCACTAAAGTCTTATCCTATATAGTCATGCTACTGGCCACCATATCCACACCTAGAAATGTAACATCCCCGTTTCGAGCCGGTTCAATTAACATACATATGATACTTAACAGACACAGCGAAAGACTTAACTTACGAAAATACAAGCTAACTTTTTTTCTTTTTCTTTAATCATTTTTCACATGATATATCATATTGCATACTTCTTCCAGTTCAATTCTTATTTGACAGAGACGAAAATCGGACAGAGTAACCTCTGTAAATCGGACAAACAGAGATTTGCAAATCTCACTCTCAAGGTATCCTGATAAACAGTTTATACAATATATAATTTCAGAAATACTAGATATCCATATAGGACCATATACCCATCCATAGACGCATGCATAACTTGGCTCTGTGCCACTATGTCTAACAACATGCAAATCCAACATGTAAACATATAACTGAATATTGCTCATAATATGGACATGCCTGAATACACAAATGTACATGCATCAAAGCGAAAACATGTACAAAACATATACATGCCATATCCAAGGTAACAGATCAAACATCATGATCCACCAAAATGAATGGAATACAAAACAACAAGAATATACTCCAAAATAGCAGTAGCCTACCGCTACTCAAAAATTCGGTCCGTCGTAGCACCTCTAACCATGAGTCGTGTCCCTGCCTCTTGAGGGCTCACCGGGAATTTGAGAACCTGAAATGATGTCCCCAAAAAGGGGTGAGTTAACAAATCTCAATAAGCTCTGGGTTTATAGAGAATTCTTCATACCCCTGGGCCCACTCCTGCATGAGAGTCAGATACAGAGTATACAAAACATCATATAACAGATATCATAACAGAACAAAGCATATATACATATCTTATCAGAGGCGTACGCAATCATTCCCAAGGGAGGACCCCAAGTAGAAATCAATGCACGTGTTCCCAAGAGAGGACCCCAAGCGGAATCAGAATATATCAGAGGTGTACACAGTCAGTCCCGAGGGAGGACCCTAAGCAGAGATTAGTGCACAAACAAATCAATGGCCAAAGATCAGTACATAATCACATCAGAACAAATTATATCATGTTATCAAATAGCTCTATATGAATGCATCTATACAAAGCATCAAATACAATCATACAATCCAACCATAGATCACTAACCACGATGGAGCACTCAAGCAGGAAAAGACTCCTTAAACATAGAGCTTACCTCTTGAAGCTTTACCAATTTGCTCACTTGTAACACAAGTTACCTATCTCGCTCCAAAGAATCCAAATGCTCACAATCCCTAGGCACACCTAGAGAAAGAATCCAAAACAAAAATCAATAAAATGATACAATGCCAGGTAATTTACACAAGGCATACATCTTATTTCTTGTTTTCATTTCTTCACACTTATGCCAAACATATGTCAATTCACAAGTCAAGACCGTTATTTCTTAAGCTCATTATTTAACCCATTTACGGATGATTATTCGTAACACAAGCAACCACCTTGTTTCATAATTACCTAGGGTCCTTGAATGACCCAACCAAGCTTCTAAATACCATTTTACAACTTTAAACACTCCTTAGCCCCAAAAACCCTAAATGTCCGAAACCAAGGCTTAGGGATGGCTAGGAATTTTCATCAAATCAATTTAAATAACCAATAGTTCCTAGAACCCTCACTTGGCTCCTAAGTTTCTTATGTACCCATATAGCAATTTAAAACACACTTTTGCCTATTCTTTCTTTCTAAGGCCATGGAATACATATAAGGGTACCAAGGTATCTTTTATCACTTCTCAAGCCATTTCACTTCATAATCTTATCAATTACATGCGTTGGAACTCAACACATTATCAAAACAAAATGTAACATAATCATCCCCAAATCACCCTATAGGCCGAAATCTATAAGGAAAAAGTCAAGGTGTTCTTTTCTGTTACAATCCATTTTCTTCACTTAATTTACAACTTACACATACATATATATCTCCACAAACTGTCCAATTAAATTTTGAACATCAAACCCCTCTATAGTACATCATGGCCGAAACATTGGGATACAACACCATGGAATTTTTCCAACTTTACACTTATTCAAACGCTTACTTCACATTCCTATATCCAAAACATCAATAATCCATCATCAATTCAAATTTTAAACTCAAAGTTTTCCCACCACAACATACACTAAATTTTCAAAACTTAAATCATGAAAATCAAACCATGGAAATAGAGATTTCTTACCTCTAATTCTTTCCCAAAGCCTAGAGAACAACCTCCAAGCAAAGCTCCATCAAAAACTTCAATTTTCACACTTGATGAATAGTAACTCAAAAAAGGGGAAGGGAATACATCCTCACACAAGCAATTATAGCCAAAACCAAGTAGTGGAATGGATTCCTTGGGTGATTTACTATGAATTTCGTGTAATGCACTTAAGCATTTGGTGGGGTGAGTGAAGAGAAATCAAGGAAGGAAGAAATGAACTCAAAACCTAACTCCATGGAAGGGGAGCTCGACCTTGAGGAGAGAGAAGAGGGAAATTCTGATGTGAATAGTGCCAGCTTAAGTGACTTGGACTTATAAGCATATGTGGCCTTTTTATCGGTTGTTTTCTTCTCACTTAATTTCACTTAAATTGACCTGCTAAGTTAAAGCTATGGGCATATTTTTATTCTTCTGAACTCATTTACATTAATTTTTATTTTCTAAGCAACAATATTCACAATTCACAGTATGGTTTCTGCACCATTTTTAACGAAATGCACTGTGAATCACTAACTGTGCACCGTTTGCATACGAAACTCAAAACTTATAATTCTTGGGTCTATTATGACTTGTTTGGCATATATTGGACTTTATTATTCTTATTTCATCAATTATTTAGTTCTGGACTCTACTGGTTGCTCAAACAGCGGTACAAAATACCGGGCAGAAACACTATTCATGAAATTTTCACGAAAAGTGCCAGACTATACAATTTTTCGTTCTGAACTCATATTTGGCATCAGAATTGCAAATTATGTCTCTAAACTCATTTTGCTTATTTTAATACCGGTTGATTCACAACAATGCAGATCATCCGGTAGAAAGCACTGTCCATGACCTAGTCATGATTACAGTCAAAATACTCGAAATCACGCTCTGAATTTAATTATGGCATTTAAATCCTTAAATTAAATCTCTAATTAAGATTTACCAGTTAGGGTCATTATAAGAACATCTTATAGTTACTCAAAAACAAAAAATAACAAAAACAAATGCAAAAAAGTCACTACACCCAATTTCCCTACAACAATTCCCCACCTAAATTCCAATAAGGCCCACAAAAGCATCATTTTGTTGCTTTGCCAGTGAACAAAACGTGTTTGTATGTTGACATCAATAACATTGTAAATTTTGAAGGAGGTTATATTTACAAAAAATTTCGCTTACAAATTCTTATAACCAAATCATAATCGTTGAGTTTTGCTAATCTAATGGTTATAATTTATTGAGTCATACTTATTAATTAATCATTAATTCATAATAAATTATAACCATCAAATTGACAGAAATCAACGGTTAAAATTTGATTGTAAGAGTTGTAAGCGAAAAAGTTTGTAAATATGGTCTTCCTCTATAATTTTATGTTAAATTAATATTTTAATAATAAACAGGTGAAAGCAGATAGTATAAATTTATTTACAATTGAGATAACTCATGCCCAAGTGATTTTTATTAATACTACTCAAATAACATTGATTCAGCACCTTACAAATAAAAGTTTTCAATCATAATAAAGTTTACAAATCTAATCAAACACACATTAAGTCTGTAAGATATATGGGAATGTTATCTAGTGCTCTTATAACTTTGCTAATACTAATATGACTTTTGATCAAAATGGTGCCACTTCACTTTGAGAGAAAAAGAGGCCAGAAGGACCACCATTAGGTAGCAAAGCCAACCTTACAGCACTTTCAGCACCTTCCTCAACAGTCAAAATGCCATTATTGTAGTTTAAATCTGTTTTCACAAAACCTGGGGAAACAGCATTGATGTAAAAAGTTGGGTATTTCTTGGCAAGAATCCTTGTGTAGGCATTCAAAGCAGCTTTTGAGACTGAATATCCAGGTGCAAAAGTAGGCCAACCTTTGGTTTCTACTAAACTCTCTTTAAAATCTTCTAGGAACTGATTCAAAACCTCATCCACTTTTTCCTCTGTAAGGCTTTCAACATCACTTAGGACTCCTATAGCCCATCCATTTGATATGAACTGCATCAACATGAATAACAAACGTTAGACCCAATCTCCTAATAACTAATTTATTAGTGATTAAAGAAACCATACAAATTTTATGTTAGTTGAAATGACTTACTTCACTTTGTTCACCAGCTGACAAATTTATAGGGGGGGAAAGAAGATAGAGAACATTTATTTTTCCTACAAATTGTTTTAGTAAGAAGGGGAGCATTGGCACAAAGGTTAGTGTTATTGCCACGTGACCTTCGTATAATGAGCATCTTACAAATGTAACGTAAGGCTATTTACTATATAATCTTTTTCTATAAACTGTTTATAATATTGAACACATGGATTCAGTCCATGTCATAAGTCTCTTGCAAATGCAAGGTAAGGCTGCTAACTATATCTGACCAAATTGCCATTTCTTTTTTAAAATAGTAACAAACAGATTGAGGCTGAGTTACGAGCAGCTGTTAGGTTGCTCCTTTATGACTAGAGAGTTACGAGTACGAGTCTGGGATAGCCTCTTTGCAAAAAAATACAAGGATAAAGTTGTGCACAATCGACGCTAATCTCTACCCTCAAAAAGTCGGGATGCATTGGGGTTTGTCCTTTGGTCTTTATAGTATCAAACACACTGCTCCAAGTTCAACAAAATCTGGCTTCCTGATTGACATTCTAGATAAAGAAACACAAGTTCTAGGATTACAAACCTGCAAATTCCCGAGTTCGGATGAAACATTAACAATCCTTGGTGAGTCTGAAAACTTTAGAAGGGGAATAAGTGCTTCACAAATGTCTTTGGCACCATAGTAGTTTGTTCTAATTGCTGCTGCTACAGTTTCATCAGTTGGAGTCATGAATCTAGTCCAATCACCTATTTCCTGCAGTCAATGAGAAGAAACTTAACCCTCTGTTTACTTACTATATATACGTGGAAGTATCTTCCAAAACAACCAAAAACAATGCCCTTTATAAATATGTCCTTCACAACACCAAATATTAACTCCAATCTAAAGAAAGAACATCTAATATACTCAAATGTTTATCCAACATAAACTGAGAGATTTCAAGGACAATTTTTCTAAATATATGAATAAAACAATTTGGTCCGGTTCTAGTTGAAAAAACAGTTTCTCTGTTCACTTGGGGAGCACTTTTAAGGCCTCACAAAAAGACAAAAGGGTCAATTCTTGAATGGCTCTATTTTCTTTTACCCCTTTTAGTGAAGGAGAGAAGATCAATGGCCAATGTAACAAAACTGGGCAGCATAGGTAGGATTAGGAAATTAATTTCAGATTCTTCATATCATGAGATGAAAAGCTCTAGGATATAGCATCATAATTTCTCTATTTCACTTGACCTCTGATGGTCCAAATCAGGTTTCGGTCTTCACAAATGCCGAAAATTTTATCCTTTTTAAAACAAAGTAATATATGGTTTTAATCCTACTCAAACTAGGAAGCTGCAAAGAGCACAATAAAGAAATTTTGTTCCCACTTCCCAAACTGGATCATGTATATTCTTGGCCTCCAATCAAAATTAACTGAAATCATTGCTCATAAAGTGCAAACTGCCTTTGCTTTGGGGGTCAGAAGATGAAGAAAATAAATCCAAATGGCCTAGAATACATACCCCAGCAGCAACTGAAGCTTCAAAAGCATCACGGTCAAAATTTGCTGACGTTCTTGCTGCATTATTCACCTACACAAATTCCAAACATTTTTTGCCAATTATTCCAAATAGATATATTTGGGAAGGAGAAGAAGAATGAATAATAATCAGAGAGAGCATAGTAGACTGAAAGAAAAACCTATTAAGTGTAGAAATGGAACACAATACCAAGATATCAAGTTTTCCTAACTGGGTTTTGATGAAATTTGCAAGGGTTGCTATGCTATTTGAGTCAGTCACATCAAGCTGATGAAAAACCACTTGGTCAGAAAGACCAAGTTGTTTGAGTTTATCAACAGCTTCAAGACCCCTTTTCTCATCTCTTGCTGTTAGCACCACAGTGATCCCATTTGAAGCCAATTGCTTACATATCTCAAATCCTATCCCTTTGTTTGCTCCTGTGACTACCGCATACCTAGAAAGCAAGCATTTCAAGACTGTTATGGAAAAAAAAGCATTTCAAATTCAAACACAGTGGGGTTATAAACACTTCAGATTTTGCACTTAGATCAAAAGCTGTCATGGAAAGAGAAGGACATGCAGATGATGAAAGTTGAAGAAAACCATAACGTACCTTTTTGCTACTTCAGCCATTGTTTATTAGAGAGAATTCAGGACACTTCTTTCTTTGAGGAGGAAATGAGATATCTAGTTTTTATACTTCGTGCAGAGTGACTCTGCTGACGTTCAAGAAAACTAGCTATTCGATCAGCAATGAGCACTGCATCGCTCATTTTATTATTATTTTCTTCAAAACCTTGGATTTTTTCCGATTAACGAATAATGTTATTATCATATTTTAATCATTGATTTTTGTCAATCAATAGTTATTATTTATTACAAATTAATAATTAATTAATAAATTTAATTTGTAAAAATAATAACCGTTGATTGACGAAAGTCAACAGTTAAAATATGATAATAAAAACTAACATTATTTGGTAATAACAATATCCTATCTCATACTTACCACCACCAAAACTTATCACCTTTAAAACCAATATAATTACCGTTAGATCAGGATTAAACATAAAAGTTCACAATTACTTCTTCTAATCATAATTTTTTACTGTCTCATCCTTTCTCGGTCTCTCTCTAGGTTTGGAAACTGTACAGACTCACCCCTCTCTCTTTCTCTCTCTTTTCTCTTCTCAAAGGTGCATTCCTGAATAATTAATTATTTAATCTGATTCCAATGATATATTGAAATTGAATTTGTAATTTTATAACAAATAGATATCGCCATCACGTTTCTGTGAATTGTGATTTTCTCTTTTTTAAAAACAAATATTCTCACATAAATTTTTTGGGGGGGGTCAGGGTCTATTTATAGATACTGACCAGTCACGATGAACTGCCACCGTCGGCGAACCGCATTGACGGTCGCGAACGGGCACGACCGGTTCGGTGAACAGGTACAATTGGTGATCGGTTTGCGAAAGGTAAGAGCCGAT